CCACCATGCAAGTAATGTCCTCAAAGAATTCCACCAAATTAGTTAAACTTGACCTACCCTTCATGAACCCATGCTGGGTGTTCCCAATGGGAGAATTTATATTCAGTTTGTAGGTCCATTGAAATTGCTAGTTAAGGTTTTTTTGGGATGAGTTGAACGGAGTATATTTTGTGTGTGCTCTCGCCAATATTAATTGATGATGTGGACAAAGAGGATCCCTTCCCATTCAGCCTGTCTATGCTTCTCATAGCTTTCTACATCTCAATCATGTCGCACCCCCTCTCCCCCACCTCCTCAGTCTCCTCCATTCCATGGAAAACAACCCAAATCTGTCTTCATAACTAAAACGTCCAGCCCAGGCAACATCCTGGTAAATCTCCACTGCACCCTCCCCAGTGCAATCACCGTTCTATATTGTAGATTCCAGAACTGCACACAATACTGTCGCTGTGACCTAACCATCATTTTATACAGTTCCAGCATAATTTTCCTGCACTTGAACTCTCTGCCTCAGCAAATAAATGCAAGTAATTGAGTGATTTGATAAGTTCAAAAATTCAGCTTGGAAACCTTTAGTGCTCCTTTTTGTTCCTTTTATAACATTAAAAAACAGTCAATCAACAAGTGCATCTTGACACAAATATATTGGTACACCTATAAAGAATTGTTTCTCCATTGTACTTGGTGATTTATGACTTTAGCCTGTTTATGGCATTTTCCATTATATAGATACAAAACGTAAATTTGTTCAGCGTTCATGCATGTTTAATAAATGTGGATAACTACAAAGATCTAACTACTTATCAATAGAATAGAATAGAATAGTCTTTAATGTCACGTGCACTTGAATGAATGCAGTGAAAAGTTTGTAATGTCGCCTCTTTAGCGCCATGTTAGTTACAGAGTACCTAGGTACAGATACTTTTAAGTGTTTGTTACAGAATTGAAAGAGTGGAAGAAGGTCTAACATAGTAATACAAAGTTTTAAAAAGTACTCAACTTACTTTTTATTCTTATTCTGGACTTTGAGTATCTTTGAAACTATTCAACACTATAGTCCTTTTTCATTGAGTCTGTGCCTGCCATGCTTCAGAACACAAGGCCTCGCTGCCTCCACACGCTGGCCTCCAGCCCAGACTCGACTCTGGGACTTGCCTCCAGGACTTGCCTCCCAGGTCAGCCTGGGCTCAGTCTGTTCCCACTCCAGGCTTCGATCGCGACTCGCATCCGGGACTGGGCTTCCGCACTGGGCTGGACTCTGACTCGCCTCCATTCTCCATTCCCTCCAGGTCGGGTAGCTTAAGAAATTAAAAGTTCGGGTAGGGGTAGAAAAACTGCAGAAAAAAGTGAAAAAAAGAAAGAGAAAGGAAAAGGAACTGGTGAGCAGAGGAGCTCCTGCTGGAGCACTTTTCTCTGCTGCCGTCTTGAACCCTGGGTCAGCAGATTGGTGATATAATGGCCTGGATAAATAGTAGGGTAGGACCTGAATGCAGACGTCCTGTCCCCATTTCTGAAGGATGCATTTTTGCCAGTAAAGGAAAAGGGATGGAATCATACCTTGGGGAACCCTGAATGTGGCAGTGATGAATTTAGACAGACCTCAATTTGGCAGTAGAAAGAGACTTGACCTGCTCAATGGGAGTCACAAATTTATGGAAGAGACATGAATATTCTAGAAGGATGAATAAGACCAATATAATGGTCGTGATTTGATATTTTGTAAATGTCTTTCTCTCTCAGGATCATGAAACTCAAGTCAATGAATACTTTAGCTATCTGAGGAGATAATTGTTTGTTGATCTTTTAGCTTAAATAATGACTTTGTCTTTTTATTTGAAAGAAAGGACTTTCATAGAAAAGAAAATTGAAATTCAGTTTTCCTCTATTTGGAAACTTTGGTTCCACAACAAAGCAATATATTATGAATCTTCACCACACTATATTTTTAGCAGAGTGTTCAAAGTTCACAGTTTAGTTGACAACCCGAAGTTTTAGCTGTCTTTGTGGAATTATACATAGATGTTTGGTTTTGTCAGAGAATAACCACATATGATTAGCTTTGAATGAGCTTTCATATAAGGGATATTTTAATTGAGTCATGGAATTTGAGTATCACCTACTAGGCCAGAACTTATTACCCATTCTTTATTGGCTTTGAGAAGGTGGTGGTGAGATACGCCCATGGTTTTTTAGGAAGAGAATTCCATGTTTCGACTCACTGACAGTGACAGAGCAGTGATTATAATACCACGTCAGGATGATGTCTGGCTTGGAGAGGTGCTTACAGATTCTTGGAGACACCACTTATGCTACTTATTGAATCATACAGCCACACAGCTCAAAAGAGGGCCATCAAAACTGTGCCAACCTGTCTGCATTATTCCCACTTTCCAGCACTTAGTGCATGGCCTTGAATGTTGTGATATTTCCCTTGTTATGGCAGCACTATCCTACTGACGGCACTACAAAATGTGTTCCGTGCCTTAGCAATCCAGACCTCGCACTGAGCAGAGAAGTACACCAAGGTAATATGGGCACATCAGAACGCAGGCAAGCTGCACTACAAAATGTGGATTTAAAAATATATGTAATTCTACAAATTTTCAATGACAACTAATTGTAATACTTTGCCATATGCCTACATAAGACTCATCTGAAGATAAGCTATTTAAGGTTCTATTCTTTTCAGTAATTATTTCTTCCAAAGTCCAGTGACTTTGGGTCAAAATTTTTCTGCTAACTGATAATTGGTTAGAGCTTTGTATCTTGGTCAAACAAGGAAGACCATCGTTGTCTAGAAAGGTAGGTATAATTCATCTTTTGAACTTTGCCTCTCCAGTGAACACAATTGATTTGCCTTAGCATGGCCACTATGTGATCATCTGAATGTTAATTGTCTTCCCCTTCATATGAAAAGTTGGCTGCATTTATGATCTAAATTCTAATAACGTCAAGCACTGAAATGCATCTTTTCATGGGAAAGGCTGATTTCAAGATTAATTCTGTTTCCATGACTGCATTAAAAAGGCAGAAAGCTGCAGAGAAGCATTCTCTATTCATCTAACTGGTAGAGGTCGTGGATTCGTAAGGTGCTGTCAAAGGAACCTTGGTGAGTTCCTGCAGTATATCTTCTAGATGGTACACATTGCTGCCACTGTGCATCAGTGGTGAGGGGAGTGAATGTAGAAAGTGGTGATAGGGTGACAGTCAAGCAGGCTACTTTGTTCTGGATGGTGTGGACATTTTTGAACCTTGATTGAGTTGCATTCATCAGACAAATAGAGAGTATTACATCACATCGATGACTTGTGCCTTGCAAATTGTAGACGGGCTTTGAGAGTCAGGAGGTGAGTTGCTCACTGCAGAATTGCTAGATTTTGATCTGTTCTTGTAGCCACAATATTTTTGTGGCTGATCCAGTTCAGTTTCTGATCAGTGGTAACCACAGGATGTTGATAGTAGGGAATTCAGTGAAGTTAATGCTATTGAACAGCAAATAGTGATAGTTAGATTCTTTCTTGTTGGTGTCATTGCCTGGCACTTGAGTTCAAAATATTACTTGCCACTTAGCAGACTAGGTATCTAATGAAGTTTTTAGTATAGTGAAGCCAGTGGTACAAGTTTAGACTTTTTCAAATCTTGCATCACTGCTGAGTTCTAAGTAAGATAGACACTGAGTGAGTTGGCATTTAGTTGTCAGGTGAATCTTTCAGTGAGGGTGCATAAGTTATAAGAAATAGGAGTCTAATAGGGTAGTGGCAGAAAATTGATCTGGGTAAAAATAATCAAGTATAGCAACACCGGTTATCGACAAAAAGTGCAGATCAAAGATGGCATAGACTTCAAAACCATAAGAGTTGTGTTAAACTTGTACAAAATTTTGGCTAGGCCACGCTTGGAGTACTTTGCACAGATCTAAATAAAATACACTTCAGCACAGGAGAAAGTATCATAATGGTAATACCAGAACTGGGGAATATAACTATCTTGAGGAAGACTAAGAAGGCCAAAGCTCCTTTCTGTACATCCTTTTATTGACAAGCGACCCGACAAAGCACTTTAAACTTTTGAAGGATTCAATAGTCCGGACATTGAGTAGATGCTTTCACTTGTTGAGGAGTTCAGAACTAAAGTTATCAATATAACGAGGGAATCAAATAAAGAACTTATGAGAAACTTCTTTAGAGAATGGTGAAAGTTTGGACTTTCCTTCCACATGGAGTGGCTGAGGCACATAGCTAAATGGAAACTGGATAAATGCTTGAGGGATAAATAAATAGATGGTTATGTTAAAAAGATGTGGTGACATAAGACAGAAGAGTCTTGTTTGAAGCTTTAAAACCAGTATGAACTCTCTCATGATTTGTACCTTTTTGGATGGTGGACAGGCTTCGTGGAGGAAGGAGGTGAGTTACACAACACACACGTTTCCTAGCCTCAAACCTCATAGAATCCCTACGATGTGGAAACAGGCCATTCGGCCCAACAAGTCCACACTGACTCTGAAGAGCATCATCCCACCCTACTCCTCTAAACTTGCATTTCCAATGGCTGATCCACCTAACCTGCACACTGTGGGCAACTTAGCACGGCCAATCCACCTAACCCCCACATCTTTGGGCTGTGGGAGGAAACTGAAGCACCAGGAGGAAACCCACGCAGTGAATGTGCAAATGCCATGCAGACAGTCACCCAAGGCTGGGATTGAACCCAGGTTCCTGGCGTTGTGAGGCAACAGTGCTAACCACTCGGTCACTGTGCCGTTCTTGTAACTACAGTATTTTTATGGCTGATCAGTTCATTTCAATGGTAACCCCCAGGATGTTGATAGTGTGGCTTGAGTAACGTTCTATACAAGTCCTGATTAGAATTGTTGCTTTGGTTATGAACATATCTGCATGTTATTTTGTATTGTGGTTAAACAGAACTGGCCAGTTTTGAAAATGCATAGTCATTTAAAAGCATTTCTGAACATTTAATATGTTTTGCTCTCATTTCAGGTTTTAATGAAACATGGACCATCCAGACTAGTAAGTATTATCCTTTTGCCAACCTTCCTAAAATTACTGAAAAATATTATAGAGAAAAGGAACTAGCAACACAAACAAGTTTATAATTAAATGAGATAAAAATGTTTATTAAATTTGCAACCGTAATATACATTGCTTTGAAGGACCAGATCTGCATGGAGTAAAGGACTGAGAAGTAAAGCAACTTGAGAGTAAGCAGTAAATTGTAAACGTGATATACCTTTCTGGATTTTGTTTTTAAAAGGTAGCTAATATGCACTTGAATATTTGTACTGTTTTTCCTTACATGTATGTCTGTAGAGGAAAAATCAAAAGCATAGGAATTGACATTACAGCACATTCATTCCACATAGAAGTGTAATCAGCTTCATCAGATTACTGTGCAATGGTGAAGTTGATGGTATAGATCACTTCCTTAATGTTGAACGTTTCCTACTTTCATTATTTTGATATCAATGAGATGAAAATTGGGTTGGCTCTATCAGCAATAGTTGATCCCCTTTATTAGATGTGTAACCAGCTGATAGTGATGTAAGTTATTTCAAATATCACTCAACCACACACTTCCTTCACTCTACTTTAAAAAAAAACACTTTTTTAATTCAGAATTTACACTTTTCCTCCAAAATGTAGTAGTTCTTGTTCCTCTGAAGTCTTGGATTGATGTCTGTGTTGTCATGCAATCTTGTAAATTGTTCCTGCTGGTTTACCATGACAACTACCTTGACATCAGTAGTCTTTTAATGTTATTCCTGTTTATCCTGCATTCAAAATGTTTGTGAATTGGAAATAAAAGCGGTTCCATCACAGGTTACTGGGGCATACTATTTGTTTCTACTGTCTCATTGAAATTCCATTATTCTGGGATAGCAAACATTTCTGTTTTTGAACTTCTATTTTTTCCATGTTTTCTTTTACCTACGGAAATGCATCGTTCATGAGGTTGAGGTCCTAGTACTGATTCCTATGGCACTTGACCACCAGCCACCACCCCCACCGCTTCCCCCCACCCCCCCCCCCCCCCCCCCCCCCCCCCCCCCCCCCCC